CAAGGACGGGGACCAGTGGCTTCTGGCTGAGCAGAGATCTAAGTTCCCCAAGTCTTGAGAAACACTCACGGAAAGCAGCAACATACTCCTTTTTACTCGATTTCTGTTTTTGGCTGCTGAATCCCCTGGAAAAAATATAACCAATGATTGAGCATAAATGCAGACATTTACAATTTGTGCAACAAGTGACCGATCTAAAAACACTTCAGTTTGAGCTGATTTCTTGTTGGGATCTAAAGCTTTTTTCAATTTTTRTAATTCACAAATGTTTCGGAACTGTGGTTACAACGTCATGTAGGAATATTTTAGCTCTATCTTTTACAAGGTTTACGCCAAGAAACCTTTTATCGAATCATTGCTTCTTCTTTGTGACTGTTACTCTATGATCAGAACTATCCTCCCCTGTGTTCTCAAGATTAAATATACGAAAGCCGTAATTTTAGGTCCCTAAGTACTAATGTCACAGTTACATGTAATCGATTGTCAAAGTTTATCATCACGAAGATGGGTCATATCAGTTGAGCTTACCATTTTGGCACCACGTGCGCTTCATCGGTGACAACAGCGAACACATTTCTTTGATAGACCTCACTTTCAAGCATTTTCCTCCATTTTTCATTTTGGAGGACAGACTCGGGGCTTGCGAAGAGATAAGAATATTGACCACGCAGTATTTTCGATTCATCAATATCTCCTGTTAAACTGCTTGCTGTCATGCCTCGGGAATTCAACTCTCGGATATGAGACTCCACCAGCGAATTTAGCGGACAAATCACCAAGACGATGGCGTTCCTTGGGTAAGGAAACCCTCTGAGATAAAGTTCCTTACAGAAGTCGAACAGTAGTTGGAATATGATTGACTTGCCATGGCCGGTTGGCAAAACGGCGAAGACATCTTCTCGGTTTAACAGACCAAACAAAGCGTTGCTTTGCTCAGCCGATAGCTGTTCTATTTCGGGAAAACGACTTTCGAGAATTGACTTCAAGATACTCTCGAATAGTTCTCTGGATATCAAAACCGTCATTGAAACTATAAACCAGCAATATTTATAAACTATAGACTTTAGATAAGATTGTAAGATTTATTTTAAAGATCAAACTTCAGGCTGACAAGACGCTATAATGACGATATAGTCCGATGGCACGAAAAGTCTGACCCCTCTCCCCAAACAAAAATATTGACGTGACAAAATCATTCAGCCCCTACCCCCATAGATATCTAATCCAGCCAATCATATTTCTCGTACACTGATTAAAATAGCCATCCAATCAGAATTCGACGATCATAAGTTGATGGCATGAAAGTGAGATTCTCAACGGTCGTGACCAGAGGTTTCTCGCGGCTCGCTGCTTCGCAGCTCGTTGTTGCCGCTTTTTACAGAGAAAAAAAAAAACGAGAAAGCTCTGGGACCAGGGTACCTAGTTTTGGGAAGCGAGCGAGAATAAAATTGTCCAAAATTCGCTCGGAATTAGTTTGGTTCCACCTTAACATACGAGCTAGATATGGTTTAGATAGTGGCATGTTTTTGCTTCTATCGCTTGGTATTTGATCAGGTTATTTAACTTTGGGATGCTTCTTCATAAAGCAGTTTTAGACCAAATGAAATGTATTTTAACTCGTTCAATTGTCTCGTTAGCAATAATAAACTCGCGAAAGAGTTTATTTAGCGTTTTTGCCTTTTATGTCAGCAGTTATATAGAATCAGATTTCCAATGACTAGTGATGAACTTCTGATAGAGTGCATTCGAGTACTAATAATGCACGTTACTAAAGAAATCCGCTCCCCCTTCTTTCGTCTGACTATTGACAAACCTTTTCCTCCTTTTATTCCTATTTTCAGGTTATATATGTTAGTCCTGTGAACAACAATTCAAAGTAATTATGCTTCTGGCCACCTGGGAGTCCTGAGAAACTGCCATTTTGAGATGCAGTGATGCCACTAGGACAAGTAACTCACTTTCCAGATGTTTCTTTGAAGCCGACGCCGGGCAAAATTCGTTACTTGAGACTGAACTATCTCTTAGTGAGTGGAGGAACAGCCATATTGAGAAAGTTACTTCAAAATCTCATATTTCCAAAAGAATTGTCCGAGGTGCTCAATAAGCCAGTGGTATTTAAAAGATTAGGTCATTTGAGAAAAAAAGGAATAATATTTGATAAGGAGTGGCAGTTGCTTTACCCTACTTCAGCCTCTTGTCAGCCCACATCCTTTGACATAACCTTGCTTACAAAGATTTTGAAAGAAAAAGTCATATGCAGCCTTAGTAAACCGAGGACGGGGTGGAATAACTTGCCAAATCAAGCGGACTTATCTTTAGAAGCCGACATTGTAAGAATCCATCAATACAGAAATATCACTTGTCACATCAACGAGAAGATGGAAATTCGAAAGTCAGAGTTTCTTGATTACTGGAAACAAATAAAAGATGCATTGTTACGGATTGTAGGGTACCATTCACCAAGTGGGTCGCCCTTAGTAGATGAGTGGGAAAAGAAAATTGATGATCTACTGACTCGTCCGTTAGATGCTGATGAAGATCAGGAGGGTTCAAGCTTTTGTAACTATTTACAACAATTACCAACCCAAGGTCAGTCGAAATCCTGATTTTTAACTCGAAGTGTAGAAACGATTTATTGCGAGGGGTCTAAATATGCAAATGTGCCACTCATACCAATCGTCTTACGTCATCTGTTTACGACATTACGCGTAACTTACTTTCGGATTTCGTACAAATACGAAGTTCTTATCCAATAAAGGCTTGAATAGCTATTCATATCAGGAGCTTGAACTTTACTTCCATGTGAGATGATATCTATTTGCTAAATTGTTGCAATATTCAGTGACGATTATTTTATACTCAACAACTGGTTTTACATTCTATAAACACAATTGTTGTTCAATGCTGTCGTTATACTTTGAATTGCCCATTAAATTTGATATCCATGAAAATCCATCTGAAAGTTTTATCTTTCGCCAGTATATTTAACAACTGTGATTTTTTTCTGGCCGCTTTACAAATTATAGGAAAAAACAGTAATGCCAAAAATATAGACCATGACAGTGATACTGATGCAGTGTTTATACCTTTTATCACTGTTAAAAGCTTTAAATCTAATACTTTTACTTATCATTTTTCTAGTGTTCAGTTTACGCTGTATAATAAAGTTGGCAAGCGTCGGTGCATGGCTCGGAGGAACCATCTACGCACTAAATAGACTAAAAGACAACCCAGAAGTTCTTGCTAACTTTTTTCAGTCCACGTTCAATGGTGGTATTTCGGTTATTCGCGTTGAGTTTGGAACAATTACATTGCAGCTTCGTGCTCGAGACCTGCTTGCAATGGAAGAATTACGGAAAAGGTGACGTGTCTTTTGCGTGTCGTTGTGTTTATTTGATGGAGTAGGTGCATGTTTAGTCTTTCTCTGCTTATTGCCCTTTTATTTTCTTGCTTTAAGGTATGAGTCAGGTCAATTGACAAAAGATCTGCAAAAATGTATCATCACAGAAAATTTAAAACATCTTGCAAATGGTGAGCCTGTTGAGTTTACTGTAGAGATGGATGAGGACGAATACCTATTAGCACGTCAATACCTGAGCGATAACCAAGAAACGAACGACGATACGTTATGAACGACAGCAAAGACAGTAAGGAAGGAAGAAGAAGACAACTTGAATGAAGAAAGCACAAACAAGACTGTTTCTATGGAGGAGGAAGAAGACAACTTGAGTGAAGGAAACACAGACAAGACTGTTTCTCTGAAGGAAGAAGAAGACAACTCGAATGAAGAAAGCACAGACAAGACTGTTTCTCTGAAGGAAGAAGAAGACAACTTGAATGAAGAAAGCACAGACAAGACTGTTTCTATGGAGAAAGAAGAAGACAACTTGAGTGAAGAAAGCACAAACAAGACTGTTTCTATGGAGGAAGAAGAAGACAACTTGAGTAAAGGAAACACAGACAAGACTGTTTCACTGGAGAAAGAAAAAGACAACTTGAATGAAGAAAACACTAGCTTCTTCAAACATTCCAAAATGGCGCTGAGCTCAACAAAGACTTCATTAACCAAAAACGCCATTAGCCAATTTCACAAAATCTGTACAAAAATCGCGCTTGAGCTTGTAACTAGAGATGTTAAAGCTTTGAAATACCTAACGTTGGATAAAGTCCCTGGTGGTGTTCTCGAAGAAATCAAAGCCGAGGAGGAATACTCTGGGTTGAAATGGTTCGCTTGTTTGACAAAACACAAGGTTATTTGCGAATACAACGTGGAGTTCTTAATTGAGGCGCTAGAGGCAGCAAACAGACATGATTTGGCGAAGAAGGCGAAGGAATATCAAGATCAAATGGTTGGGGAACGTGAAGAACTAGCCATAACAAGAACAAGACTAAGTAAGTATATTTTTCACTAGTGTGTTTTTATTTCCTAGTACTGAAACAGAGAGCTTTTAGGCCATCCCCAAGAGGATAAAAGAATCTGTGTTTTTCTGTGACAGTTGTTTTAATTAGAGATAACTAACTAAAAACCAGTGTGAGCTGCGTCGGTGTTTCTAATGAAACACTAATGATAAAAGGGTAAATTTTACACTGTGAAAAGATGAAAAAATTTACTGTCGTTTCGGACGCTAGTCCTTCGTCGGAGTACAAGAGGGTTGTTAGTTTTTTAATAATAGCTCTTATCGTAGATGAGCACGCCACCCCAACAAACCAGCGGTATCGTGATGAACGTAGCATCAAAACGAGACCACCGGGTCGAGCATCGGATAATTTGCTAAGAAATTTACTACAAATCTTCGAGGGATCACTATATTTTGATAGATATCTTTGATATACAAAGTATTTTTGTAGTCTTTCTAACTATGGTCAAACACTATATATCTTTTGGATGTACGAACAGAGTTTTGAAGGCAGAAGGCAAGGAATTATCGTGGCTTTGCTACCATTGATAACTGTAAAAAGTGTATGGCTCATCAGTCAAAATACGTAGAGAGAACTGAGTTACCAAAAAGTCTTACATTTATAGTTGGCATTTCGAACATGAATGCTTTATTAAGCCACTGGGATGACAGATAATTGATTTGAAGCCGAGATCTTTGCAGTCCAATATTTTTTTTATACTGTCCACACTATGCGAGGAGGCTATCAGTAAAACACTGCATACGAGGGCTCTTATAGTCTATTCGTACGGCAGTCAATTTCGTTTTGTAGTTCTCAAGTATGTTAAAAAGAGTTGTTCGAATCTTAACTATCATACCTTCATTCAGAAATAGAAAGCGAATAGCTTTTACACACTTATAAACTTACGGCTATAAAATAAGCGCCGAATAACTCGATGATCACGATGGACTAGCAGACTATACTGAGACACGGCTTCAAAACAAGAACTTCGTGACCAGCATAAAAGACTATAAACATTACCCAAACTTTCATGGAATATGACTTAGTAAAGCTCTTCTGTATCACTTATTGTTTCTTAACAAAAATAGGATAGTTCGATTCAAGTTTTTTAAATTACCAAAAGTCGACTGCCGTAATCAAAGGTTTACAATGTGTTTACGTTTATTATGCCGTACGAACGGTCACTCCGTTTCTATCTCAGTGGCTTTTTTAAGGTAAAAGCGAACTTTGTGGAATAGATACTGGCTTCAAACAAATCCCCCTATCCTCCATGTGGCTTAAGGAAGCATTTAGCTTTGAAATTATTGCTACAAATGTAAGAAATTGTGTTACTTGGAGTGTTCTTTCTCAGTGGCTTTTCTGCGGCAAATTACGAACTTTGTTCGATGGCAACTTCCTTGCTTTCTGCCTTCAAAACTCTGTTCGTACATCCAAAAGATATATAGTGTTTGGCCATAGTTAGAAAGCCTACAAAATTCTTTGTATATCAAAGATATCCATCAAATTGTAGTGGTCCCTCGAATATTTGTAGTAAATTTCTTAGCAAATTATCCGAAGCTCGACCCGATAGTCTCGTTTTGATGCTACGTTCATCACGATACCGCTGGTTTGTTGGGGTGGCGTGCTCATCTACGATAAGGGCTATGCCGGATAAATTTGAATCCGAATTTTTATTTATTCGGTTAGACCTACCGTCCACACTAGTCCGGGCTAATCCGGAACAATTCTTCACCGAAATCGATTTTTTTCGAATACGGTCTCCAGAGTGAAACAATTTCAAAACGCCGGTTAGGCGTATTAGTGTGAACGGAGAACATTTCGTATCCGAATTTCTTCGAATACGATGACGTCATGATTGTCATGGGAACATGGCGGGAAGGCTAAAAATTCATCGCGGGCTTATTTTCAGCTTCGATGCACATGCTCAGATGTGCAATGAAGCGTTCTTGCCGCCTCTGATCGGACTAGTGTGGACGCGAAACATTTTATTCGTTTTCATGTGTGGACGGAAAACTTTTTTTTTCGGCTTCGGTGTGAAAATTTCGGATTCAAATTTATCCGGCATAGTGTGGACGGGGCCTGAGTTATTAACCCTGATTGGTCTAACAATAACTAAATTGTGGATCATTTGTCTCTAGCTAAAAAGAAATCAGAAAAATATCAGAGTCCCCGATAGGAAATGAACCCATGATCTTCCTATCAGGGTCTCTGATTTTTTCAGAGACAGTTCCTTTAACTATATTCCAAAGATCAACAATTTCTATATAACTTTCATAGCTTATAAATAAATTCATCATATAATAAACAACCTTTGTGCGAGGTATTGATGATATCTGGAATTATCGATGTTGAATTATCAACGGCTTCGGGCAATAACATTTGTCGAGACATTGATAAATATAATCCAGATATCATTAAAACCAAATTCCTTTTCAGTGGTGAGAAACAAAAGTAATTATACTTAAATTTCAGAGTTTTTAAAATCAGTAATTTTGTGATGTTAATTTTTGTGCTTTCTTAATAGTTTCCAAGTCTATTTTCTACACCACTAGTGATTGCGTTCATCTATTTTTCGCTGTGGAAATGGGATATGCTGCTGGCGGCACAAATATGTGCAAACGCATGGTTAATGCCAGTCAAAAAGCATTAAATACCTGCTGTAAAGAGCCAGTAGTGGGCAATATGGAACTTGCTCTCGTAAAGTTTGGTAACCATGGTAACAAGAGGAACACAAATTCATCTGCCCCAAGAGGACAAGAATCAAATGTTGCTATCCTTGTGAAAGAAGTGTCAAAAGATTTGAGCATGGGTAGTTGTCCCAACTTTTACTCGTTTTGTGGAGGAAGAGGAGGAACATCTGGAATAGCAGATGCCTTGGCAGAGTTTGTTGATATTGTCCAAAGAAATGAAATGCAAAGACAAATCCCGAAAATTTGTATATTGATATGTAAGTGTAAAATATGATATTAAGAGATGCCTACACCCATTCATATATCAAAATTTTGACTTTCTATATTTTTTCATTTTCTATAACTATCAGTCTACATCATTCATTCATTTATTTATCTCAGGATTTCTTTCATCTATCCATTCATCCATCCATCCACCCATCC